GTGAAAGCAATTACCAGCAAACTCAGCTGGATCAGCTGTGTCCCATCTACTGCTTGCAGGCTTAGTCCAAAATGTTTATCCGTTTCCACTGTAATATTCCGAACTTTGATTGCCGACTTGTTGACGTGGGGGGAATTACTGTGGTGTTGGTTGTTAACACGACACTTTGTCGTTGGTTTGTTCGCTGAGCTGGGCAATTTGATTGCAAACGTTTCATCATCAATCGAGGTGACATCATCAGTGCGTTATTGGGGAGCGTAGTTGTGCGTAGCGGTGGATTAGTGCTTGTGTCAACAACTGTGTGGTTGTGCACAAGCCAAAGACCATCTACGCTACCTGAGCTGTCGACATTTCCATCTATAGAAAACGACACCTTGTGATCTTCATTAGAAATTTACTACGAACCAGCCCCAATAGAGCTTCGCCTATCTCTATGGTACAAATCAGTTTAGAATCTGAACGTCTGTACATGTGCACCCGGGTTTAATATCTGAGTTCATCATTACATGTCCTTAACATAGCACTGCATAATCATCTGTTTTTTGCTTGTGGTGCTAGGTCCATCGAATGTGATATGTTCAGACACTGGACTTGTTCCGCAAATGTGTATTGAACTCCAGAATACTCGTCGTGTATTTTGGGATGCAGCGGATGGGTGTCAGTCAACCGGAAAGACCCTATTAACCATTCCCAGTAAGGAACATCAGAAATTTGTAATGGATAACCTGCAGAAAGTGAGTTTTGAACTCAACCAGCTCTCGCGTATCATTCTGGGAACATGTTCTTATAGTTACATCGACTCCTGACTTCTTGATTAGTGAACGATGAAGTTCTCACAATCAAATCTAATGAGAGGCGCTGAGATTATGTTAAAATACATTAGGTGCAAGTGTATGTTAGGTCTCTTGAACTTATTTCATATGTATCATACACACTGGACCTGAAAGAGCTGAATTCATGCTTAGCGACATTAGTCTCTTGTAGTTTACGGAACGACGGTTATAGCTATAGTATGCAGTGTTTTCCGCGGGATTCGGCTCTGATACCACCATAAGTTCGCAACACACAGAGGTTTCACAATATCCTGTGTCATATGGGACACCTAACACGGCCTAAGGGATAGCATGTACAGGGCTCCGGTGATACCGTATAGTTGCGTGTTAGAAAGCTTGGACTTTGCGGGCAGACAATTTGATCTGGATTCATGTTTTCGACACGATAATTCTGAGTCGTCTTGGTCTAGGTATGCGCCATTGGTAAAGTTGCCTGATTAATTATTCAACTGAGGCTGGTCCAGAGCCGACTTATTTGTCTGTCATCATAGGGATTTTGGTCTCCAGTCTGCATGAACTGTTTTTTTTACCGCGCCAGTAGGTGTGTAGTGCCTGATGTCTGTCTGAACGCGGGAAATTCACCCATTGGTGTATCCCTTATCTCCTTCTTACTGATTGGAGAAGACGTTAAGTGAAACATTGGCGATTTTTTCGGTCCTACCAGTAACTTGGCATGGCATGCGTGCTTCGTTTATTTTCTTCTCGTTTACTTTACTAACCAGTTTCTGACGCCATATCCTTCATGATGCTTAAAACGTTTCATAGTTACACGAAGTTATTTTTTGAAGGCCACCTTGCTGATTTTGAGTATATTTCTTTCAGTTATCCGGTGGAAGGCCCGTGAAGGCCTTCGTTGGACTGTTTTCGTCTGCTGGCAGATGGCGTTGGGTTTCGGGATACAAATCACTGCCTTCCACTTTCTGGAGCCCTAATCATCCACAGCAGGAGTACCATTGTGTTTATGTCGATACTGGTACGTTATATATGTAACGACGTTTGGTCGGTTATACGGTGAAGTCTTGATTGAGTTTACCTTATATCTTTCATTCATCGAATTCAGCGTTTTCTGAGAAGTTTGCCTTCTTGGATCAAACGCAGTCTTTTATGGGTTCTATAGTCTGTGTCCACGTTGGATAGATTTATCCATTTTCAGTATAGTTACCCTCCTAGTCCGTCCATATATCGGGATTTCTTAAAGTCAGGACCGGATCCCCAGAAGTGCAGCTCAGACATGCTAATAGGCGGCAGAAGTGCTGCAACCGAATCTGAACGGTGAACATATTTTTTATTTGTTGCTTCCTCCATAAGAAGGAAAAAGAAAGGAAATTGACCGTTGTGTTACCCCGTCAGGTAATGAATGTGTCGAAGTAAAGAGGCGCTCTAATCCAGTACAAGCCTCAGGCACGTACATCGGCTGCCTGTATCGTCTAGATGTAGAATTTTTCATGGTTCCACGCTCTGCATACCTAGTGAAAACATAGGTGGGCAGAGATCCGCATGGTACGAGAGTCCCGATGGTCGAAATGGATATCTAGTGTTTTAATAATCCAAAATAGACTAGATATGACCTAGTATTTCAAATCCATGGCGGCAGTGTGTGAGAGAGAGGGTTTCGGTGGGCTGAATCACTTCCGTAACTCTGTGGGATTCATTAGGTAGCAGTTTTCGCCGGAGGAAATATTGGTTGAGCACCAGTTGATTAAAAGTATGACATATTCGCCTCTTAACAGACTCCATCAACCTATTGTTGATAGGAATAGGGGGTAATGAACGTGATGATTTATTCGTACACACTTATTTCGCTTAATGGTTCTGGTTCCAAAACATCCGTTTTAGAAATAAACGCCCGTAGTAATACGGTCGGGGTCTGTATGAATGCATTCACATGTTCCTCGTGGTTTGTTGAGTTGCGGTGAACCTCAATAGCGCACCAGAACACCTTGCCTTTTTATCGCATCTATATCTTCATGACGGCCCTTTACGTTTAATATCATGCATTCACATGCATTCAGTCTTTCCGTTAGACTGGATAGATCCAATCTGAATATGAGCATCAGGAGGCAAAGACAATGAGTGACTTCAATAACATTGCGCGCTCTGTGGTACTTAACGTCGTTAGAATAAAAAAATGGCTTTTATTATTGTTGTGTGTGAGAACTATTTGCTTCTCAAGTCTTTTTTAAACTTGCAGACGCCAAGGGATTGGATACATGGAAATCAGGGCCGTGCGATGCACACCTACCTTTTATCTGTGGCACTTCTCTACCGGATCCCGAACCGACCGGTACAAACCTACAAATGACCACTTGTCCGCAGAATTTCCTTCGGATCGGAGCTAGCTGTTTTTCTGTGAGTATCTGTCTCTACTGGCCTACAACCAACTGTTCTCTATCGCCTTTATAATGTTAGATCGTAAGTAGTTACTTGGTTCGTTTCTTTGTAATTACATTGTTCTCACTCCTCGTGTACGCTTAAGAATACCCCAATTCATGCAAGAAACGACATAGGCTCGAATCTAGACTTTTTAAGGGTTTCCTTAAGTATTTATTTTATTGGTCATATGTGGGTTTCAGCTCTAGCTCTCTCCAATGTTACGTAGGAAGAGAGTTTACGGTAGCTCTTTAGGGCTTCCTTACGTATGCTGATTATATGTTCAGACAGTAGCTTCAGATACTGTTAATAATAAACCGGGGTGTGGTATATATGCAGCGATCTGAATGTGGAGAAACGGCGGTTCTGTTATTCGATCATCGGCCACTACGTCACCAATAAATTGCGGTCATTTTTGAAATCCATGACACTCACAACCCATGATCTCTTCCGTGTGGCTTTTCTGACCAATTTACCTTTCTGTCATCATCATCATCACCATCATGATCAATGACAGCAACATCAGTGTTGGCACTGATGCTTCACTGCCGTACACCCATAAAGTTCGTTTAGTTATATATATATATATATATATATATAATTGTATTAAAAGCCCTAAAGTGAAGAGAAGAG